GGGGGAACAGATTTTCACAGGGGAACAGAATTTCGCACAAGACCGGCCGTGTTTTGAATGCGCACCGACAGAGGGCGTGGTCAGGAAGTGACATAGCCGCCTCATTATACGGAGAATCCTCGCCACTGTCCGGAGACTTGTAGGTTAGTCTCTTTGTGGTATTTCTGTGCAAAGTTTCCCCAATACTTTCCGGGACACCGCCGTGTGAAGCTCAGCATGGGCGCCGTCCATGCCAGGGTAAGGACAATTCCTGGTAAACGTGTTAGCTGTGACTTTGACCTCTCTGAGTGCTCCGTGGGAGTTATCTGACACGGCGCCCGCTGAGCTGTGAGGAAAGGCCCAGCACTGCATTCAACGAGATCCTTGGGCTCAGACGTTAATTTCTGTAATGACAAAGACTTCAAGATACGATTTGTATCGATAGTTTTCTTTTCATCTAGCCTATGTAAAGACTGAGTGCTTAGATTTAAAACTAGTAGGACTTGATAGAAGATTATGTTTTACTGACCCACTGCTGCCGCCCCACTACAATAATGATTACTTGTGTTTACAGCACTGACTTGTTTGTTGGTCAACCTATTTTACAGTAATCTTGTACATGGCTGTACATTGGCTCTTGGGTTCTTTAATTCTTTCAACAGCTCACATAAGTGCGATTGTGTGTATAAATATTGTATATATATATATATATATATATACATACATACATACATATATATAATTATAAGACTGGGCCATGTCCATGGATTCTTATATTGTTAAGGCTTCTTTACGTCTGTTATTTCCTTTTCTGTTAATCTCAATGCAAATTAAACAAATAATGTAATCCCTACATATCCATATTATGTTTAGCACTTTGCAAATTTATATCCTATGTACCCTATGATGTGGCTTTTCCTGTTGCATTAGATTTTTAAAAAGTAAAAGTACTTAGAAAGTAGTTAGAGTTGGCTTTAGAACCATCTTTTAGTATTGGCTTTATGTCTTAATCTGTCTTTTTGTTCTTTTAATGAGTGAGATGTTCCTGATCTTTAATATTTTAGAAATTTTGAACGAAATTACATTAGCCTTTCCACTTATTTGCTAAGTAAATCCCGCTGTGTAGCCTTTTTGATTCAATTTGTCCTTTAACTGTTTTGTGTCGCAGAGCCTAGACCCCCTGCCCATGCAGGGGCCAGAATTCGGAGTTCAAGCAGATGACATTGAAGCTCCTGGTGTTGAGCGGGAACCGAAGCAAGAAGTTCTTGAAAACAAAGATGTGAGACTTATTTTCTTTCAGACAGCACTTCATTATTATGCCTGAGTGTTGTTGATTTTTTTGCTTTCAATAATAAAATACTTTTTTCAACTGAAATGTTTATGATCTTTCAGGTGTTGTGTTTTTCCTCTTGCTTGTCAGGTTGTGGTTCAACGAGTGCACATAGATGGACTAGGAAGGACGAATGAAGACATTCTGACTTATGAAATTGCCGAAGTGTTCAAGGCAAAGAACTTGATTGATGTAAACACATATTAGTTTAATTTCACCTCTCAGTGTGTCCCTATTGATACCCATAAATTGCAAAAACATTCTGATTATTTTATTGGACAGGTAATGCGGAGGTCTCATGAAGCCCGGCAGCGGCTTCTGCGTCTTGGTATCTTCAGAAAGGTTGAAGTTGTTATTGACACCACTCGAGGTACCTTCCTTCACGACAACATCTTGCAAATCTTGTTTGAAAACAAAATTTTGATAACAACTTGCATTCACTCCAGCATTTCTAGAAAGCAATATGCAATGTTAGAAGTCAGATGTTTTTGTTTTTTTACACTAAAATTTTGTATGGATGATTACAATGGGAGACATATATAAAGGTTCAGTAGTGACCATTCCAAATGCAAGTCAGGAGTCATTCTTCTTGGAAAACTTGTACACAGGGTGCTGAATGCTGGCCATTGGTGCTTTTTAATTATGCCCATATCATCATGGGAAAAAATCTAGAAAGAACATTCTAATGAGAATCAATAAAACTCAGTTCAAAATTCAGTAAACCTCTACTAACAAGCTGCCACAGTCATAACTACCTTGAGATGTGCCATTTTTTCATTTGCTGTATTCAGGTATTCAGATTTTTTATCTGTTTATTGTTGTCGTTAGGTGAAGATGCTCTTCCAAATGGCCTTGATGTGACCTTTGAGGTCGCTGAGCTGAGACGCATAACAGGCAGCTACAACACTATGGTTGGAAATAATGAAGGAAGCATGGTGAGTGCTGTCAAGGGATCTTCTTTAGCAGACAACAGTGTTGATATGACATTAGTTTTCCTTTTAAAAGCCAAAATACATTTCCCATGTTGAATTGATTTGGTTAAATTCTAGCTTCCAGTATCCACCATTGTTTTGAGACTGGGGTGTTAAAGCATGGGAAGATGCTTTACATGTTGCACAGAGGCCCACTGTGGACTGGAATTTGACAACTCTGCACTGCAAAATTAAATATTTAGGATTCCCAGTGCTTACTCTGTGTTTACAGGTACTCGGCCTGAAGTTACCTAATGTTTTTGGTCGGGCTGAAAAACTGATATTCCAATTCTCTTATGGTACTAAAGAGACATCCTACGGCCTTTCCTTTTTTAAACCCCAACCAGGAAACTTTGAGAGAAGGTGAGGGGACAACACCAATTTGTTTTGTGGTTTAATGAAGTTCATACACCGTGACCATTTGTTTTGTGTTTTGTCTGAGGGCTTCTTATTTTGGCGTCATATATTAGTAATTTTAGTTTTGTTATTAACTTTGTGGGCGATGTTGGGTGATTTAGGTTCTTCAGTTTCTACATTACAGCACTAAGTGTAACTATCAATGATGTATCTTGATATGACAAAGGAACCCTAGAACTAAACCTCTGCATGACTCTCTTTCAGTGTATCTGTCAACATGTACAAAGTAACGGGTCAGTTTCCATGGAGTTCGCTTAGAGAGACGGATCGAGGCCTCTCCGCAGAGCTGAGTGTAAAACTTTTTTTAAATTCTTTTTTTTCTATTTGTGCACAAGAAATTCTGTAAAGTCTGTAAGGAATTTCTGCTCTTGCATCTTCCTCTTCGCGCTTTAACATGATTGGAGAGGAAAGAATCAGAATCAAATGCATCAAAGGGTTCTGGTCAGTAATGTCCAAGCTTGATATCCTGAGAAACAAAAAGTTGTAGACCTTACACTTGTTGTCATGTGTTTAAAAGACTCTGTCAGAACCATATGTCTACCTGTATTGTAAGGCTTCAAAAAGTAAACACACTTTGCATGTCATGTGCACATTTACTGCATACGATCTGTAAAAATACAACAGTGACAACATTATGCTTTAATGAAATTTACCAACCACAGTTCCCTGTGTGGAAGACCAACCAAACCCTGAAGTGGGAAGGAGTATGGAGAGAGCTGGGCTGTCTGGCTAACACTGCCTCTTTTGCTGTTCGTGAGGAGAGCGGTCATTCGCTAAAGTCCTCCCTTTCGGTATTTGTTTTCCAGTTATCATTTGTAATGATAATAATTTGTTCTGAGCTCTGAATTAGCCTTTAAAAAGCTTTCTGTCAGGGAATTCATTTTTAAACCTCAACCAGTGTTGAGCCAGTGTTGAGACTGAAGCTTGGCAAACACTTTTAAAGATAAACCAATGTTTTTCAGCACGCAATGGTGATCGACACCAGAAACTCTTCCATCCTTCCCAGGAAAGGTGGCTTATTGAAGATTCATCAGGTGAGTTAATGAAAAAAATAATGAATTAAGGAGAAATGACAGCATTTAATAAACCACATGGAAACAGTATGTGCAGTATTATATACAACACTGACATTTTGTGTGTGTGTAGGAACTTGCAGGTTACACAGGGGGTGACGCAAGTTTCCTAAAGGAGGATTTTGAAATGCAGCTCAACAAAAAACTCTTCTGGGACTCTGTAAGATTTAGTATTTTTCCTTTCAACCATTTATTTCACAGTATTGCACTGTTTAATAAGGTGAATTGGGCCAGATCACGATTATCAGTCAGACAGTACAGACATGTTAGTAAATGTATAATTGTAATTGCAAATATTCACGGTTATCACATTTCAATGTAAAAAACATTGGTTTTATATGTCTGATGTCATTCAGTGCACATGTTATCATACAACCTTTTGGCTTTTTTTCCTTTAGGTCCTGTCTGCCTCATTGTGGGGTGGCTTGCTTCTTCCCTTTGGTGAAAAGCCGACATGTATAGCAGACAGGTACTGAACTGCACTGGCCTACTAACAATCCGCACCGTCTTAGTCTGTTTTGTTTTCCTATATTTGTCCATTTTTTAATTTTTCATTTGAGCAAATCAGCTAGCTAGTACGTATTCTGAATGTAGTAAAAAGATTTAATACAAATTTGATCTAAATACTAAAAACACCTTCTGTGACAAGTTGTCGGTAAGCTGAATTTTAAAAATCTTTTGGCAGTACAATGTAAGAAGGGCATTCATTTACTGTAGACAGGGATGATGATGTCATTAAAAAGTGCAAGCCACCAAGTACGACATGTTTACATCATAAGCATATTTGTCTGCAAATACATTCAATACATGAAGTTTTTATGAAGGCTGCAGGGTTGAGAAATGTATTTCTCAAATGTATTTCTTTGTTGAAATATCCTGCCCACAGATGACTTGATCTGTTACGCTGTATGCATCTGCAGAGGTCATGCATTGTCAAAATAGTTTGGACACCATATGTCCGTTCAGGGCTATTTATATATTCACTATTTTGAAAACCAATTAATAGTATCCATAATAGAAAAGGTAAAACAAAGTTTAAAAAATTACAACACTGAATTTATTTAAAGGTCCTAACTGTAATGTTTTTTGTCTTTTAGGTTTTATCTTGGTGGCCCCACTAGTATCAGGGGATTTAGTATGTACAGTATGGGCCCACAGAGTGATGGTAAGATAAGATGGGATGCTCAGTAATTATGTTGAGTTTGGTGGTTTATTGAATGTTTTTTAAACTGATATTGATTACATGACAGGGGACTACCTTGGTGGAGAGGCCTACTGGGCAGGCGGGCTCCACCTCTACACACCTCTACCCTTCAGACCTGGCCGGGGAGGCTTTGGTGATCTCTTCAGAACCCATTTCTTCCTCAATGCTGGAAACCTTTGTAACCTCAACTATGGTGAGAATTTTAGAATATAAAAATCACTTACAATAGGTATGGGTTCATATTCCTGGACTATGTCTTTGTGATTTTTTTAAAATTTAATCTTCATAAAAGAATTGAGCACATCTGTTATTAATTAATTTATTCATTCATTCACCCGCGACCCCATTAGGGAATAAGCGGTAACGATAATGGATGGATGGATGGATTCATTCATTCATTCCTTTTTGGTCCAAGTTCATGTTTGGGAAGTCTAGCTATGCTGACATCATGCACCTTACCATGCCTTTTTTTCTACTTAAGTTAAGTTACAAGTATGTTTCTCCCCAGGTGAAGGGCCTTGCGCACATTTAAGGAAACTGGCAGAATGCATCCGTTGGTCATATGGGCTGGGCATTGTGCTACGTTTGGGGAACATTGCCAGGCTGGAGTTAAATTACTGCATTCCTATGGGAGTCCAGAGTGGAGACAGGTATTGGTTGTTTGGTGTGTCAGTTTAGTAGCTCATGAATTCCATTATAAATGTCATTGGCTTCAGGAAACGAAGCAGTTTTAAAATTGGAGATATAGTTTCAAATTCTTGGCTTGCTTTGCATTTATTTCCAGAAATATTATGTGCTTGCCTTGCAGGATATGTGATGGGGTCCAGTTTGGAGCAGGAATCCGATTCTTGTGAATTAACATTTCTTTCATCCATTTTATTGGAAAGGGGAGGTTGTACAGGGTTGTTGTGAACATGTTGGCTCAATAAAGGCATTGTGCCCAACCTACTTTTGTGATGTATCTTTTCTTACCATTTTTATGTCTCGTGTTGCAATTGAGTCCAACACCAGATGGACAACTATTTAACACTGTTATGCATTCCACATAGGGAGAAAATCGAAAAACAGCACTTAGATTTTTTTAATGAAGATTAATGTTTTTAAGCCTAGGCTCCCTGGTAAGGTCTATTCAGGGGTTCTAGAGAGGAGGGTCCGTCGGATAGTTGAACATTGGATCTAGGAAGAGCAGTGTGGTTTCGTCCAGGACATGTTAAGCTGGACAATCTCTCGTGGGAGTTCGCCAACTATATGTTTTAGTGTGGACTTGGAGAACGCATTTGACGGCGTCCCTCAGGAGAATCTTGTAGAGTTACTCTGGGAGTATGGGATACCTCCCCCTTTGATATGACCTTTTAGTAAGACGAAGCTGGTGTAATTCTTTGTAAATGTATTTGCGGCTGAAACTGCAACACATCAGAGAGAGAGTGGAATTGGTAATGTTATTCCAGAGGATGCTTGTTATGAATGCCATTATAACATACAGACATGTTAAATTAATTTAAGGCACCAGCTGATTCAATATAAGGCTGTACACAGACGCTATTACTCAAATGTTAAACTGCATTCGTTGTTCTCATCCACTTAACCATTATGTTTAAAATGTAAGATGCAAAAATGCAAAACCATAACATATTTGTTATGGTTTTGCAACAAATTCCTTAGATACCAGTGCAAGTTTTTTCACTTCTATTCTGAGGTTTTTGGACATGATCTTACTCTGGACCCAGAGACACATCCTTGGCTGGTCTCTCTAGCTCAAAACTCTTAGCCACCGGAAGGCCCTGTCATTCCATTATGGGATGATTGTTGCTAAGAAAATAATACTTAAACTCTGGAACAAAGATACATCTCCAAGTTTTGAAGCTTGGCTCAGTGAGCTCTCAAATACTTTACAAACAGAAACAGTATGATTCGAATTATCAGGGACATCAGATAGATTCCATCAAATATGACAACCATTTCTCAACCATATCACACAGTGGAGAGGGCCATCATGACACCTCAATGTTCTGATTGTATCTGAATATTTATCTGTATGTAATGTCTTTAAAGTAATTTTTATCACAATTGCGGATGACCACAGAAACTGTTGTTGTAGGGTAGTTTTATATTTTAAGTTTTGTTTTTTGGGGGGAGGGGGTTCCACTTCCTGCTTTAATGGAACTGATTTTGAAATGTCCTCAGTAACAGAAGTTTAATCCTTTTCCTTTACCGTAGCCACTCTGTCTGTCTTCACAGTCTTATGGTTAACATAGAATAACACGGTTAACAGATTTAAAAACTGCCAGAGTTGACACAATAAGTAATTCCAGCCGCGAAGCATCCACGTCATTACAGGAAAGGTGTTCCAGAAATCTGCATTTTCAATGAAAATATTTTAGATTAAAAGAAAGACACGGTACGTAAACATGTAGCGTAACTGGAAAGCATGAGAATATTCATGAGATCGATAGTGTATATAAGTGAAATCACCAGCACTTCACTTGCGTGTATCTTCTATGAAAGTATCAGTTATCTTACTGCGCATCACTTACGCGCACACTGGTATCACGTGCATTGCAACGATCCACTCTGTACAGCGAAACTGCGCATGCCCTGTGCACATTGTTCCGTAGCATCACAGCAGCACGCCAGGTAACATTGGAGGAAAACTGATCGTGGGGACTGGGGCAATTCATTCACTGGCTTATCTAAACTACATCTCCCCATTTCCGTCACAAAAGAGCTAGTCGTATAAATTCAGTATTGTTCGCTGTGAAATTGCGTGAGGCTGAATAAAAACGACCAGCTAGGGCTCTGTTCTTAGGTTTTATCGGCGGTTTTATCTGAGAGCGGCAGGACTTGGACACACGCTGATGGCGGTCACTATCGAGGATCTCTATCGAAGCTACGGGGTCCTTGCTGATGCTAAGGACAACCTCAGCCAGGTATAGAAAGATCAATTTTCTCTGTGTTAAATACATTTTAAGAGTGAATTTTGTTGTATTGGAATTTTGTGGAATGATATTTTCAACTCTGTTTCATAATATTGTTTGTGCTTGCTAGGCTAGCTGCAGCTAGCTACAGTAGTTTTAAGGCTAAGGCTTGATAGCCTCGATATGGCGACCGTAACGACAGTTACGACCGTTCGGAGTGAACGCGTGGGATTCATTATTGTTCAAAGAAACTAAATAAGCTGTTTGGTTTAAGCTTTTATATTAAGTCCATCGTTTATTGTAGATGTTCTAAACAGCGATAGGACATTTTAAACTATCAGCATGTAAGTTCGCAGGGCATTAGAAAAGGGACAGCATTTTCAGATCTCTCTCCCGTAGATGCATTTGTAGGTTGAAGCGACTTGAAATTAAGATGAAAATAAATGAACCCTAGCTGTCCCTTGTTTCGGATTTTGGCCAAAAGCGATTAGAACATTTTCAGTTTTTACTCAGTAGTAGGCTTGATACTTGAAACGATGAACCACAGGGATGTTCTACTAAATTGTTTGAGTTAAAAAAAAATGCAAGCATTTCATCCTGTTGATAGTTAAGTTCTAGTTGTATATAATGTTAAAAACACGTTACCGTTTTTGTAAAAAAAAAAAAAAGTAGGCTCCAACAGCAACTGGATCCTCTATTGTTAATTGTTTATTTTAAAACGGCTTGCAGAAGAAGATGGGACATGAAACAATTGTTTCATTTTGCTCTGAATGCTTTTTACAATTGTTTGCTTAATATTAACCTTAAAATTAAGGATAATGGTCTAGTTCTAAATAAAAAGATCTTCTGGTGACACGCATTGTTTGGTCAATCACTTGCCAGTTACTATTTCAGAAAATACTAAAATATTTATTTTTTTACAAATTTCTCTTGTTGGCACCTGGCCCAACACATTGCAATGACATTAAACTTTCTAATGTGCACCTCATCTTATTCTGCAGCACAAAGATGCCTACCAAGTCATCCTGGACGGTGTAAAGGGTGGTCCAAAGGAGAAGCGTCTGGCTGCACAGTTTATTCCAAAGTTCTTCAGCAGTTTTCCAGAATTAGCTGATGCAGCTATTAATGCCCAGTTGGATCTCTGTGAGGATGAAGATGTATCTGTAAGTATATTGCTTTATAATGTGTTAAATGGTGAATTAATTGCTTAGAGCATATGATAGTTTTGCATCTGCTGATTTATTTAACATCTTCCCTTCTCAAAACACTTTTTTGAGACTTGAGAATTTCCACACAGGCGCCTTGTAAAATATTTAGAATATCAGCATGTGATACAATTTATGAAAGGAAATATTTCTGAGCTTTTGTGGCTGTTGTGAGTTTGTCTGTTACGCTGACCTGTATCTTGCCTGCAGCTCCATCACAGCCCTGCTCTGGTGGATATCCACAGATATCCAAATGCAGTAATGTTAGGAACCATAAAAGGAACGTCATCTACAATTCTGAACACCATTTTTAGTGTATTTCCTGTTTGTTTAGACTTTCGTTGCCTTGTGCCCCCTCTTTTTTATCATCCTGTTGTTTTTTAACAGCAACTATGGGAAAAGACTAGACCAAACCATGTGTGCATTATTCTGAACTTTCGCCGTTTGAGACCTGCATCCGAGTATTAATATTGAAATGAATACCAGATGTTATCTGAAAGCAGGACAGCAGACATCTGGTTTTATGTCTGCCAGTCTCTCATTTTAGACAGAAAAATAGTTGTGGAGTGATTGCGTAGGTAATGACACAAGTTGTTGGAATCTCAATGTATAGTGCTGTCCTCACCCTTTCCTTGTGTCACCACACGCAGCCTAAAAGCTAGAAATGTAAAGCTAAAATATCATGAGAGCTCAAAGTGTCTTGTTTTTTATAAGTTGATTAGCATTTGAATGCACTTGCAGCTCAAAATAGATAAAGATAAACACCCCACAGATGTACTGTTTATGGTCTTTGCATAGATTCGGCGACAGGCCATAAAGGAGCTCCCACGGTTTGCAACAGGCGAGAACATCTTCAGGGTCGCAGATATTCTCACCCAGCTCCTTCAGACAGGTATTAAACCTTTTTCTGTCCCTTATATCATTCAAAGAACCATATGACTAAGCAGAAGTAGTTGTAATTTCACATGGTTGTGTTTTTAGATGACACAGCAGAGTTCAACCAAGTTACCGCGGCACTGATTTCTATCTTCAAGATGGATGCGAAAGGTAAGTCCTGCATCCCCTCCTGTTGATGGTTCTTTTGTGGACTTTTTAAAATAAATCAAAATCACTCATTTCACAGATCTCACAGAGTCTTTTTCTTTTTTTTAATTCTCCAGGGACCCTTGGAGGGCTCTTCTCTCAGATCCTGCAGGGTGAAGACATTGTGCGAGAAAGGGCCATCAAGTTTTTGTCATCCAAACTGAAAACCCTACCAGAGGACGTCGTGACAAAGGAAGTGGAGGAGTACATCTTTACTGAAACAAAGAAGGTTTGTAACAGAGTAGGGTCATTGGTGACCTTTATTGGATTTGACTGTTGGTGATCTTAGTTGTGCACGTGTGCAAACACAAGACTCAAGGCTAAACTGAAGAATCCCTCATCAGGTGTTGGAAGACGTGACAGGAGAGGAGTTTGTGCTTCTGATGCGTTTGGTGTCCGGCCTGCGGGTGTTGCAGACCGTAAATGGGAGGCAGCAGCTTGTAGAGCTGGTGGTGGAGCAGGCTGACCTGGAGCAAGCCCTCAACCCAGCAGATCCAGACACAGTGGATCGCGTCCTGCAATGCACACGGCAAGCTCTGCCGTTATTCTCAGTGAGTATCTCCACAGGCTTGTATAATGTCTTAAGATGAAAAGAAGGCATATGACATGCTGCTGTTTGTATCATGTATACTGTCAAAGGGCTCTAATGATGAGAACTGAGAATTTTTCAGTGTGAGTAAATCTCAGCTCCTGTGTTTTTGCTTGTTTTTTATAGAAAAATGTCCATTCCACACGTTTTGTGACCTACTTTTGTGAACACGTACTGCCCAACCTCAGCACCCTGACGAGTCCTGTGGCTGAGCTTGACATTCAGTTGGAGGTGAGTTCCACTATTCACAGTAGATGACTGACTTGTAAATATTCTGATCAAGTTTATAACATAAGATTGGTTCATCCATTGAAATATTGAGCAAATCTGCAATGTACAGTTTTGGTAAGATTTAATAGTCCTTGAATGGTTGTGAGTTTATTTTCTCACTATTAAAACTTATTATGGTTTAATTCTTAATTTTACGCCTCTGAAGATTTTATGGACTGCTTTTCTAGTTAAGCATATCAAATTCCCACTCAAACAATAACATTACAAGTTGAGGATGTAGTTGAGTCAATATCCTACTAATGCTGATCTTAGTTTCTGGTTTTTAATTAAATTAACCGTTTTTTGTGTGTAGCAGGGACAGTCTCTTAAACTGTCAATTTATGTTCTCATTAAAAGATGAGGACTGCTGCAAATCCAAAGTACGCTTTAACCCTTTAAAATCTACATTTAGGAAAAAGATGGGAAATGTTTTTTTTTTAAATTTATTTATTTAGCACAATAACAACCAGAATCAATTCTTTTTTTCAAAGATAGTTGGTGAAACTTTGTGGTACAAGTTAAATAAAAAAAAATACAATATTGTAAGTCATATTTAATTTACATTAAATCACATACCTAAACTTAATTTTAGAGCTAGAAGTGTACTTTTTTGTCATAGCTTAGAGTTGAATATGTTTCCCATATCGGCTGACAATTTCTGTTTGTCTGATACACAGATAAGTAAAGTTAAAAGTTTATTCACTCAGTAGTGAATATAGTCAGCGTGGTAGCATAGAGATCAACTTAGATATTTTCGTCTGTTCGTAGGTGCTGAAGCTGCTGGCTGAGATGAGTCCATTCTGTGGGGACATGGAGAAGCTTGAAGCCAACCTCAACATGATGTTCACCAAGTTGCTGGTAAGAAAAATATTACAGCTGGTCTGGTGATTACTTTGAGGTTTTTATAGCTTTAAAAAGCCAACATTATTTTGTTAGAAATTCTTGAAGCGGCCTCAGTCGTTCTGCCCTCATTGGTTCAATAGAATCTGAATATTTCAGGATGTCTTCAACATAGTTGAAAGACTCTTTCATGTATGTTTATAAAATTTGTAGACATTAATCTCTGTTCACTTTTAGAACAGAGGTGTCCTCATAAGTTAGCTTCAGGCTTTAGGCCGACATCAGTCTCCCGGCTTTATATTACAAAGAAACTTGAATTATTTGTGTGTATTAGGCTTGTCCCGATCCGATATTTGGATCAGATCGCCTGCTCATATTTGCAAAAAATCAGATGGCATGAGAAAATGCCGATCCAGACTCCCGATCCCTTAAAATATATTCAGATCCTTGTTTTCCAGCGCACCAATTAACTCATTGACTGCCAGCCATTTTCAGAACAGAGAGTCGCTCACTGCCAGAGTTTTTTGAGAATTTTGACTGATTTTTCAAGAGCCACATTTGTGCTATGACTATGTAAACACCAAACACACCAAAAGAAAGAGTAGACTCTCTTCTTTCATCAGGAAAAAAGATTTTGTTTCTACCTTATTCCGTTCTTCTTCGACGTGCGTCTCACCGGCGCCATTTCTCTCATAGCGAACCATTGCGTTTGTTTTTATTTGCTTACAATCTATGCTAATCTCCCATCAAAAGTGGCACAGCTACCTAGAGGGTCAATTTGTTAGTCCATATCAGAATCAGAATCAGAAATACTTTAATAATCCCAGAGGGAAATTATTTTTGTTACAGGCTCCATAAGCAAAATAAAAACAAAGGCATATACATATGTACATGTCTATACATATATACATATATATATACAAAATTCCTCATAAATATAGCTAGATATATACAAAATGAGAGGTGGATAGTGTCAATGATTAAGATTAAGATTAACTCTCAGAGGGAAGCGTTGTACAGATTGATGACCACCGGCAAGAAGGATTTCCGGTGGCGCTCTGTGGTGCATTTGGGTGAGAGGAGTCTTCTGCTGAAGGAGCTCCTCTGTTGGGCCAGTGTGTCGTAGAGGGGGTGAGACACATTGTCCATGATGGACTTAAGCCTGGACAGCATCCTCCTCTCTGCCACGGTCGACAGAGTGTCCAGCTCCTCCCCTACAACATCACCCGCCTTCTTGATCAGTTTATTAAGTCTGTTGCTGTCTGCGATCCTCAGCCCACTGCCCCAGCATGTGACAGCAAAGAAGATCGCACTGGCCACAACAGACTCATAAAACATCCTCAGCATCGTCTGACAGATGTTAAACGACCTCAGTCTCCTCAGGAAGAAGAGTCGGCTTTGGCCCTTTTTGTAGACTGCCTCGGTGTTTCTTGTCCAGTCCAGTTTATTATTTAAGTACACCCCCAGGTACTTATACTCCTCTACAGTGTCTACAGGGACCCCCTGGATGGAAACAGGGGTCACAGGTGTTTTGGCCCTCCTCAGATCCACTATCAGCTCCTTTGTCTTTGTCACATTGAGCTGCAGATGGTTAAGTTTACTCCAAGTGACAAAGTTGTCCACCACAGTCCTATATTCACCTTCATCTCCCCTTTCAATGCAGCCAACTATTGCTGAGTCATCAGAGAATTTCTGAAGATGGCAGGACTCAGAGCAATGGCTGAAGTCTGAGGTGAAGACGGTGAAGAGGAATGGAGAGAGGACAGTCCCCTGAGGGGCCCTCTGTCTAGAAGCCCATATTTACGGAAAAACATTCGCCGATCGTCCCCCAAGCCACTCGCATTGAAAAACATAAAAGACGTCTATAGACGTCTTTGGCAGTCAGCGGTTGGATTTGAAAAGACGTCTATAGACGTCTTTGGCAGCGAATGAGTTAAATTGATCCATTACTGATTCTGATTTAAGAGACAATTTTCTATTCAGGTTGTGTGTTTTTCCTTTTAAATACAGTTTATAATATTATCTGCACTTTTTAATGTTCACTGATGCCATTTCTATTTGTTATTTTTAATTTTGTCTATTTTGTGTTTAGCCCTGAATAAGCAGGTCAGTGTCTCTTTACCAACCATTGTGTATTATTCAAACTTACCTGATTCAGCTGGCTTGTTGTTATAAGAGTAAGTAGGCTAAATAACTTTAAACTTTAATACATGCTCTGATAGGCCGGTATCAGATTGGAAGTGCAAATACAATTTTGGTATCGGATTGGAAGTGCAAAAAGCTGGATCGGGACATCCCTAGTGTGTATTATTTAATTGTTTGTTTGTTTTCTTTTGGTTTTAGGAATTCATGCCACTGCCTCCAGAAGAGGTTGAGAATGGCGAGAACTCAGCCAGCGAGGAGCCCAAACTACAGTTCAGCTATGTTGAGTGTCTCCTTTTCAGTTTCCACCAGCTTGGCAAGAAGCTGCCAGACTTCCTGCTGGACAAAGTGGACACTGAACGCCTCAAAGACTTCAAGATCAGGTGAGCTACAACTGTGAAAGTTCAGTTCATGAAATCTATTTGAACCAAATATCTATATTTTAGAATTTTCTGGTCTTGACAGATGTTTGAAGCACGTGATCAAATATGTGTCTCCAGAAAAGAAATTGATCATTTTGGACATGCGTGTGCTTTGGGTTGAAACAGGTTACAGTATTTTGCCAGAGGCCTACAGGTCTACATCAGACAACTGCGAGTAGCCCTGCAAGGAAAGACAGGAGATGCTCTCAAGACGGAAGAGGTAAACGACTGCCAGCGACTGGAAAATGTACCTGTTTGCTTTGAGTCGAAAGAACAAATCTGTTCTATCTAAACAGAACAAGATCAAAGTGGTGGCCCTCAAGATAACAAACAACATCAACATCCTCATTAAGGTGAGGACTTTTTAATCTTCTTTATTTACTTGAGATCATTTCTATAAACATTATAGTGTGATGAGTGGTTGACGACGGGTCACAACAAACATGTGTTTATCAGAAACGTTCCAAACAGAACAGGGTGGACGTCGTGTACCGTTTGTGGTTTGTTTGAAAGCTTTATTTTCTCCATCTGTTCCTCGGGGAAGCTACAAATACTTCTTTGCTTTCTTTGTGGCCCTTTTAAATTATTTGAAATTTCACATTTAACTCATTCGCTGCCAAAGACGTCTATAGACGTCTTTTCAAATCCAACCGCTGACTGCCAAAGACGTCTATAGACGTCTTTTATGTTTTTCAATGCGAGTGGCTTGGGGGACGATCGGCGAAAGTTTTCCCGTAAATATGGGCTTCTAGACAGAGTATGGACTAACAAATTGACCCTCTAGGTAGCTGTGCCACTTTTGATGGGAGATTAGCATAGATTGTAAGCAAATAAAAACAAACGCAATAGTTCGCTATGAGAGAAATGGCGCCAGTGAGACGCACGTCGAAGAAGAACGGAATGAGGTAGAAACAAAATCTTTTTTCCTGATGAAAGAAGAGAGTCTACTATTTCTTTTGGTGTGTTCGGTGTTTACATAGTCATAGCACAAACTATTCTATGGCTCTTGAAAAATCAGTCAAAATTCTCAAAAAACTCTGGCAGTGAGCGACTCTCTGTTCTGAAAATGGCTGGCAGTCAATGAGTTAATAAGCATCACTAAGTTTTAAGAAATGTAATTATTTTTTGTTTTCAACTATCTATTTTGACCGAATCTGAGCTAATGAGGTATATTTTTGGATAGTCGTAGCCAGACAATTAACCTAAATATGTATAATGCTGTACCGAATACTCCGTACTGATTCATCCTGTAAATATCACCCCCCCCACAGATGTAATAGATAAATAAATGGAACACAGGAAGTGTTTTGGAAATGCTGGCTAGATTTATATTGATGGCATGTTTGTCATTGGCTGTACTTGCACTGAAGAACAACCTGCAAAAGAAAGGTGACATTTGGAAATATTTGCAATTTAAAAGCCATGCTTTTAAACATCTGTCATGTAAGGCTGGTAACTCAATTGTTGACCTTCTGGAAAATCTTCTTAACCAGTAGACCTAGACCACAAGACTAGTCACATTCGTGACAGTTACAGAATAGTGAGGTCCTGACCATGGACTGATAGACATGTGGCCACAGATTTAGGTGGGGATGGTAAATGCCTCAATATAAGATTCTGCACCTAATGACTGAGACTGCATCATATGAGGTTATGCTAGTATAAAATTGTCAAAAGGCTAGTAACTTTGACCCACCTCACTGCTGGGTAGTTGTTTGCATCATCATCATTATTATCATTGTTTTTTCTTTGTCTGTGTCCCAGATTGATTTTTCCCCTTGACACTTGTAACCTCTCATGTTAATGTCTGAGTGGGTAGTTACCATAATTAGTTGGGATTAATTTTAACATGTTTTCAGCTGCTCTTATGTTAACAATGTCAGGCAGTTTTTGGGTTCTGCAGAGATTAGAAAGCTAATTCATGTTTTCCTGAGGCAGTAGGCCTGTGTGAACTCAACTCAACACCTCACTGAAGAACATTTACATACTGGTGGATCCCAAGCCTTGTGGCAAAGCTAACTAAATATGTATTATGTGCAAAGAGTATGTGCACGTCTGCTCTTTCTGTCTTTGTGCCAGTGGTCATATCATACTCATACTACTTCTCTGCCCCTTAAACCTCTAATAGTCCAAACCAATTTAGCCTCAAAAGTAAGTCTAGTGCTTAGTTGATAATGAGTAACAATGAAAAATGTTATTTATGATATATTAAGTTTTGTATTATTAATATAGCCTTTTGTATAAAATGTAACATGCTTGGTTTTATATTCTCGTAGTTATTTAGATTTCTAGAACCTTAAAAAAAGATAAAATAAAAAATGTTTCATTTCAGGATCTCTTCCACAACCCTCCATCATACAAGAGCACAGTTACTCTGTCCTGGAAACCGGTACAGAAGACAGAGGCAGTGGCGTAAGTCTACTAATCCCCCACCCCACCCACATCCTCACTGCCAGATGCCATTCACACACTTGCCTAATTGCTTTATTGGTCTCCACCGTCTTTTGTTGCAGGCCCAAGCGTCCCTCAGGTGAAGAAATGGGATCCGGCGGAACCACAAAAAAACAGATCCCTGCTCTGCCACGGCGGGACGCGCGACAAATTTACAACCCTCCCAGTGGCAAATACAGCGCCTCCATTGGCAATTTCAACTATGGTGAGGAACTCTGGCTGGTGCTTTTTCATAGTCATCTTTTCAGTTAATGTTTCAAAGTTGAAAAATAAAACTTTTACTCATTACAAACTCTTTGATTAACATTTTTCAAGACAATGTTTTCATTGAATTTGAAGAGCTGTCTTATCAAACCCTTAAGTTAGAAGGATGAATTTAATCATCGCACATTAATAAGTCAGTTGTCATATTAAATAGTTACTGTATAGAGCTATTTTTGTGGTAAAATTGTCAGCTCAAGAAGCCTCTGACTGAAGACAATCCTTTGTTTAATCACTATGTCAACATAGTTGAGATGGTTTGAGCTCAGCAATCCTTTCAAATCACAACATTGACAAGAAGACTTAATCTAGAACTTTTTGGCAATGATACCAAATAGCTTATCGTTTTTTCTGGTCATTTCTACTCATTTTCCCAATTTGTGTCCCCAGAGCAGCGTGGCGGTTTCAGGGGAGGACGAGGACGAGGCTTTGGCAACAGGAGCAGGGGTCGAATCTACTGAAACACAGAGGGTGTACATAGTGCTCATCGAACTGCATCACATCAGGATTGTTTCGTGCTGAGATGGACTATTTGTCATCCAATCTTAATTCATTTTTAAAAAAATTTTTTATTACGACTTCTCACACATGGACAGGATTTCACTTTTTTGTGCTTGTGTTTTTGGGGTAAAGGCTTGATTTCCTGTCTCCAGAATATCAAACAGGCTTCAACTTTTCTACCGACCATTACAATATTTACTCCATGTTCCTCTCAGCCAAGGTGATAGCTGGTATAAATGTGTGTTGCTGTTTGTTTATGTTTCCCCTCCAAATTTAAATGATTCTGTGTATTTTTTTTTGGAAGAAAATGCTGCCAAGTTGTAACTGATGTTTTTGTCAGATAGATGTAGGAAGAGAAAAATATCCTCTTGTTTATCAGCATGTTTATCAATTCACTTGTTTCTACCTTCTTATTTAATCTTGATGTTTTCTGTTTGTATTTTTTTCTTTTTATCAGAGCTTGATTTGAATTGGCTGACCATGCTACTTTGTATGAATCAATGACACTGTTTCATTGGATTTTTATCATAAAGTTGTCTGGAAGGATGTCCTTCGGCCCCTGATGTGTTTGTGTTGATCTTCAGCTCAGGATCAGCGTTTCTCTGCTTGTCTTTTTTCTGTCACATCAAATTTCTACCAATTTTCCTATATCATTTTATTCTTAAAAAAAAAAAAAAAAAATTGTACTTTTCATAAGTTTTCATAATCAGTTTATTTTCTATTCTCACTCAGTCACTCACCCACATGCATGTCTAATTCATCACAGTCCTCCTTTTGTTTTCCCTCTCCATTAATTTAAATATATAAACTGTGTTCCCTGTTAATTTTAGCTCGCAACATGGCATCTGCATTTACAATACATACCTGATTGAGAGACTTTCCAAGTTTGGTGCAGACTTTAGTTCACACAAGTACATATTCAGTACAGGATCAGTTCATGTCAAGATTGGCGATTTGTTTTTTGTTTTTTTCTTATTCAAGAGATGTCAGTCTGCTAACTGTCTGGAAATGTATATATATATTTTAATACAAACTGATTAAAGCCATGGTCCTAAAACAAATTCCAAGGAGGAAACGCCAAAACCTGGTCAAAAAGGCTCATGCGCTGGGCTCGAAAAGCTTAACAGGTGTGCTTGTATGTAGGTGGATGCTCAAAGGGAGGGGGGGCACTTTTTACTAAATTTTCTGAATTGGCTGTTCAGAGTGAGTCCCATAAACTTCTAAACTGGATACAGCCGAAGCTTCAAACCTTCGATGAAGGTTTAATATTAATGGAAGACCTTATACAGACGAGTGAGGCTGCATCCATCAGCTCCAGGTTGACACATTCAAGCAGAACCTTGGAAGGCTCAGTTTAAATATTATCATTGTGATTTACTGCAATTGGTAAACACTGAAAATTACATTCTAAATGGAAATGGTATGACACCTATAGCAGAAAATAAATGTTTGAATTAACACTTAAAAAATAAGAAGTGTTTCTTGTCTTGGCAGAGTCTTCCCTGAGGAGGGCGATCTAGATTAGGGCTTTCCTCAGAGAAACAGGTGTCTATTTTTATCCCAACCAGCGACTAATTTAAGTCTTTCTTGAGGCCCTTTTGTCTCTGTTTGATTTCTTGTTCAATTCACTTCAATTCAATTTTATTTATATAGCGCCACATCACAACAACAGTTGTCTCACAGCGCTTTCAAAACAGAGCAGGTCAGACCCTACTCTGAAGTTAACTACAGAAACCCAACAATTCCCACCATGAGCAAGCACTAGGCGACACAGGCAAGGAAAAACTTCCTTTTAAGAGGCAGAAACCTTGAGCAGAACCATGGCTCAGGGTGGGCGGCCATCTGCCTCGGCCGGTTGGGGGTGAGGGGAAAGAGAGAGCAAGAGAGAGAGAGAGGGCGAGAGAAGGACAGAAGGAGCAGAGAGGGGCAGCCAACACAGCAACACGTAGAATAGATTAAAAATGGCAATGATATTAATGCTAATGATGAGCAGGAACATGGGGGCAGCAGGAAACTCCCAACCACAGATCCAGACTCCACAGCTCTAGGAACACCTGCAGGAAGTGATAGGAGGAGACTCCCAACCACAGATCCAGACCCCACAGCTCCAGAGCCAGGAATATCTGCAGAAAGTGTTAGGAAGAGAGAGAAGAGAGAAGGGGGGCGAGAAAGCACACGACTACGGGGAAGGGAGAGAGTCCAGTTAGTAACATTGTTAATGGAATGAGGTTGCACCGGGAGGGAGAGAGAGAAAGGAAAGGGGAGCTCGGTGCATCATGATGCATCCCCCGGCAGTCTAGGCCTATAGCAGCACAACCAGGGGTGGACTTACTCTAACTATAAGCTCTATCATAAAGGAAAGTCTTAAGCCTACTCTTAAATATAGAGACGGTGTCTGCTTCCCGGACCCAAACTGGAACCTGGTTCCACAAAAGAGGACTCTGATAGCCGAACGCTCTAGCGCCCATTCTAGTTTTCAAGACTCTAGGAACTGCCAGTAACCCTTCATTCTGGGAGCGCAGTTCTCTGGTAGGGCAGTAAGGTACTAAAAGCTCTTTAAGATAAGATGGGGCCTGACCATGAAGAGCTTTATACGTAAGGAGAAGGATTTTAAATTCTATTCTGGATTTAACAGGAAGCCAGTGCAAAGAAGCCAAGACAGGAGAAATAAAATCTCTTTTTCTGGTTCCTGTAAGAACACGTGCTGCAGCATTCTGGATCAGCTGAAGAGTCCTAATGGACTTTTTTGAAGACCCTGATAACAAGGAATTGCAGTAATCCAGCCTAGAAGTAACAAATGCATGGACTAGTTTTTCTGCATCATTTTTACACAGGATGCTCCTAATTTTTGCAATATTACGAAGGTGAAAGAAGGCGGTTCTTGAAATTTGCTTAATGTGAGAGTTAAACGACATGTCCTGATCGAAGATAACTCCAAGATTTCTCACAGTGGTGCTGGAGGCCAGGGCGATGCCATCCAGGGAAACTATATCTCTAGATAATGCGTCACGAAGGTGTTTAGGCCCTAGAACAATAACTTCAGTTTTAGCTGAGTTTAACATTAGAAAATTGCAGGTCATCCAGGTTTTAACATCCTGAAGGCACATTTGAAGCTTAGCTAGCTGATGAGTTTCATCTGGCTTGATCGATAGGTATAACTGAGTATCATCTGCATAGCAATGAAAGTTGATAGAGTGTTTCCTGATAATATTACCTAAAGGAAGCATATATAAAGTAAAGAGGATTGGTCCGAGAACGGATCCTTGCGGAACTCCGTGGCTAACTCTGGCATGCATGGAGGACTCATCGTTAACATGCACAAACTGAAACCGATCTGATAAATAGGACCTAAACCAACTTAGAACGGCTCCTTTAATTCCGATGAAATGTTCCAGTCTCTGTAGTAGGATCTGATGGTCAATGGTGTCAAAAGCAGCACTAAGATCTAATAAAACCAAGACAGAGACGAGTCCTTTGTCTGATGCCATTAGGAGGTCATTAGTAATTTTCACCAGTGCGGTCTCTGTGCTATGGTGAGCTCTAAATCCTGACTGAAAATCCTCAAACAAGCTATTGCTATGTAGATAGTCACACAGCTGTTTGGCTACTGCTTTCTCCAGGACCTTGGAGATGAATGGAAGGTTGGATATAGGTCTATAGTTGGCTAAAACATCTTGGTCCAGGTTAGGCTTTTTCAAAAGAGGCTTAATTACAGCAACTTTAAAGTACTGTGGCACATAGCCTGTTAATAAGGACAGATTGATCACGTCTAGCAGAGAAGTACCGACAAAGGGTAGGACTTCTTTAAGCAACCTAGTCGGGATGGGATCCAAGAGGCAAGTTGAAGGTTTGGATGAAGAAATGATTGAAGTTAGTTGACAAAGATTGAGGGAAGCAAAACAGTCAAAACATATAACTGGTTCTGGTCCTACAGTTACTGAGTTTAAAGATAAGTCGATGCTAGTTGAGGGCAAGTCTTGGTGGATTTTGTTCCTGATAGCTAGAATTTTATCGTTAAAGAAGCTCATGAAGTCATGGCTAGTGAGAGCTTTTGGAATACTTGATTCAATAGAGCTGTGGCTCTCAGTCAGCCTGGCAACAGTGCTGAAAAGAAACCTGGGATTGTTCCTATTTTCCGCAATTAAAGACGAGTAATATGCTGCTTTGGCATCACGGAGGGCCTTCCTATAAGCTTTAAGACTATCTTGCCAAGATAAACGAGACTTTTCCAGCTTGGTTGAACGCCAGTTCTTCTCAAGTTTCCGAGATATCTGCTTTAATTTGCGGGTTTCACTAGTATACCATGGAGCTAACCGTCTTTGTTTAAGAATTTTCTTCTTTAGGGGGGCTACAGCGTTAAGAGCTGTTCGCAGCGAGCCTTCAACACTATCAACAAGATGATCAACTTGGGAAGGACTGAAATTAACATAAGAGTCCTCTGTTTCTGTACGACTTGATAATGGATGTAGAGCTGATGGAATCACATCCTTAAATTTAGCTATAGCACTATCAGACAGGCATCTTGAGTAGACATTTTTACCCAGTGGAGGGTAATTCAGCAGTAAAAGCTCAAAAGTTAGCAAACAGTGGTCAGATAAAGACGGATTATGTGGGAACACTATTAAATGTTCAATTTCAATACCATACACCAGAACAAGATCAAGGGTGTGGTTAAAACAGTGAGTCGGTTCATGAATACTCTGAGAGAAGCCAATGGAATCTAACAGAGAGATAAATGCAGTACTGAGGCTGTCATTCTCAACATCCACATGGATATTAAAGTCCCCTACAATAATTACTTTGTCCGTTTTAAGGACTAAAGTTGACAAAAACTCTGCAAATTCAGATAAGAATTCAGAGTATGGACCGGGTGGTCGGTACACTATAATAAATAGAATAGGTTGCAGTGATTTCCAGCTTGGGTGGGAAAGACTCAGAACAAGGCTTTCAAAAGAGTTATAGTTCAATTTAGCTTTAGAGCTGATAACAAGACTGGAGTCAAAGATAGCTGCAACTCCACCTCCTCGACCTGTGCTTCGAGGAATGTGAGTATTCCTGTGACTGGGAGGGGTGGATTCATTTAGGCTCACATATTCTCCATCACCCAGCCAGGTTTCAGTAAGACAAAATAAATCAATCTTATAATCTGATATGAGTTCATTTACAAGCACACCTTTAGAAGAGAGAGATCTGATATTCAAGAGTCCACATTTTACTCTCTTATTTGCATGCACTATTTCTCTTGTGGTTTTAACTTTTATGAGGTTTCTATAGACAACTCCTCTGTTTACCCTTAATTTTAAAAATTTAAATGACCGGGGGACAGACACCGTCTCTATAGGTTTTTCACTAAATAACTCCTGGAATGGAGGAGCAGAGAAGAGGGTTACATTACAACTCCGCTTCCTCCTCTCAACCCTGGACTGTCACCGATCTAGTCTGCTAACAATGTTGGCTAGGTTTCTAGAAATGAGAGCGGCTCCCTCCCCCGTGGGATGGATGCCGTCTCTCCTAATCAGGCCACGTCTTCCCCAGAAAGACTGCCAGTGATCCACAAAGACCACATCATTGGCTGGGCACCACCTCGCCAGCCATCGACGGAAAGATGACATGCGGCTAAACATGTCATCACTAACCAGGTTGGGCAAGGGGCCAGAGAAAACTACGGTGTCCGACATTGTTTTAGCATATCTACAAACTGACTCCACATTTAACTTAGTGACTTCTGACTGACGTAACCGGGAGTCATTAACGCCTACGTGGATAACAATCTTACTGTATCTACGTCTACCCTTAGCCAGAAGTTTCAAATAAGACTCAATGTCGCCCGCTCTGGCCCCAGGAATACACTTAACTACACTCCCTGGGGTGTTCAGCTTCACATTCCTCAGAATCGAGCTACCTATTACTAGGGTAGGCTTCTCAGCGGGTGGCTCGCTGAGTGGGGAAAATCTGTTAGCTACTCGAACAGATTGAGGGGACACTAGGTGCTTAGACTTTTTACGGCTATTCCTCCCTCGGACAGCCACCCAGCTTCCCTTTCCTGGCTGCTCAGGAGAGGCCGGAGGGGGGGAAGGGGGGGGACGGCTATCAGCTAACTCAGGTCGGTCCGCACCGACTACCTGGGACTGGCTACACTTAGCTAGCCTAGCTAAGGGCTGCTCTACTACGGTGCGGAGCCGAGCTTCTAACGCACTGAGCCTCGCCTCCATGTCTAGAAATAAACTACACTTGTTACACATACCACTACCGTTAAAGGAGGCAGAGGAGTAACTAAACATCAGACACACCAAGCAAGAAAGAGCAGGAGAGCGAGAGGGAGAAGCCATCGCTAGCTGTTAAAGTCGCTAACGGTTAAACAAAAGTACGGTAGAGCCACCGGAACCTTTGTTACATCCGCTATAAGACAGAACAGCAGTCACCCAAGATGGAAAGAACTATTGGTGCTTAGGCAAACTTACTGAAATATAATTACGTTATATGGTAGTTAGCGAGAGCAGAGAAAAAAGCGCTAAAACCGGAAACGGAAATGGGTTGATACGCTTACCGCTACGCTTACGCCAGTTTACGCTTACGCCAACAACTCCAGTCGTTGTTAAGCAACACACAACTAATTGCGTCTCCTTCTTCTTCTTTCTTCTTCTTTGTGATTTTTTTATTGGCGGGTGACATCTATCGTTAAGATGTATTATCGCCATCTACTGTGCTGGAGTGTGGACCAGAGCATCTCCCCCAATCTAAATTCTTCCATATAGTCCTGTTACCTTCAAAAATGCAATAACTGCTTTATTTATTTTATGTTTAATTAAAATCTTATCAAGCTTTAATGTTTGTATAT